GGCCCTGCGGGGCTGGGAAAGCTGTCTGTGTTGGGCGTATTTGATATCGGGGCTCTAAGCAACGCCCGCACAAACCCCCCAGGTGCTTTCAAACGTTCTTCAGCGAGTGTGCGCCCGCCCCAGGCTGGTAAACAGCATTGTTAAATGATCGGTAAATAGTAGATGAACAATAAAAATTAAGTTCCATTTTTTTTGCTCTTTGGCTGTCCTGTACTAACAGAAATAAAAATCAGTAAGAACAAGGTAAGCGAATGTTACTTTTTTCCCGCCCATTCTTTTGCCCGTTACTTCTACAGTTACATGATAATTGGACCATCAGAAACACGTTTTGTGTGTCTCACTTTTCTTCTGTTTTTAATGCTTGAAGTATTCTTCCATTTCTTTTTTAATTCCTGAAAGACCCATCGCAGCCATAATGCAATTAAAACATTTGGAACAAAAATTGCATGCTGATATTATCCTTAGGACAAAATCACTCGGAATCTGACAGTGGAACCAGATACTGGTTTGTAATTCCACGTATAACTTGAGTTCTTATACTCACACCTTTCCTCATTTCCCTCTCTTTGAGTGAGAAGACTAATAATTTTAGAAGTTCAGAGAAGGGTTTCAAAAATATTTTGGGAACATTACTTTCTTTGGTCACCTTCCTCAGTGTCTTTTAAGAAATTCCACCTGAGCAGAAATAGAAGATGCACTTTATACCATACAATATTGACACACAGAAAAACACTTACTATAAAGTCTCAGTTTCTGCCTTCATTTGTACCCTTAAACCGGACTGAAATGAGCCCCAGGAGCTCAAATACCGTAAGCTGGGTTCAATTGGCGGGGACGTGCACGGCATTTTTGAGCTCTAGCAGCTGTGCGGGCATCCCTGGCGCTAAACCCGCACAGAGCCAGGCGCGGTGACCCGGAGGGGCGGGGAGGCCGGGCTGCGCTGCGGCCGCTATCCCCCTGCTCCGGTGGTTCGCCCAGCCCGCTGCACACAACACCCCCAAATCCAGTTCTCTGACTTCAAGGCCCCCGGCCGGGCCCGGCTCGGCCCCGCGCTCCGCCCCTTCCGCCGGAGCGG